AAAAACTAGACACATAGGTTTGCGTTGAACTTCGCTTCGCGTGGAAAATGGAAAAATTCAAGGAGCTTCGTTTCCAGAAATGTAAACAAACACTTTTTCCACATCTGATTTACACAAATACAACAAAAACAAACTTTATTTTTTCTTATTTTATAACAGAAAAAGCATTAAAACTGTGAAACTTTAAAATTGCACAATTGAACCAGAAGAGAGCGCCACAAAATTCAAAGTGCTTATTACTTAGGAATGTGCCCTCTATAATATATGTGAAAATGAAAACGATTCGTGAAGTGTAAGTTAATCTGAACATTTACCCTGTATAAATATTATATATTTTTTATGTATAATATATCAATGACTACGTTTACATGTCACCTATAATTTGGTTTAATGACATTCGTAGTTCTGAAACTGGCCAATCACAACTATTCCTCTGAAGAACGGAATGATTGAAATTGATCAGTTTTAGAACTATGGATGTTATTAAACCTGGGAGTCGATTGTGTATTTTTGAAACAAAGTGAAAATTACAAAAATGTTTCGACAAATGAAATCGTAGATACTCTAGTGAATTTACTCACTTTTGTACTCAATTTTCATATCGTTTCAAGATACACAATCAACCCCCTGATTAATGATGACGTGTAAACATAGTCACAAAAATTTATCCTATTGGATTTTACACTATGATATCTTTATTTATAAAGCACAAAGAGCAAAGAGATAAAGATCCTGATATTAAGATTCAAGCTATTAAGGTGCCTTTACATGGCAGCGTCAAGTGTCGATTATTAAGCGTCTGTACATAATATTGTTGCCCAGAATTCTATTTATTTTATTATATAATAGATGTGTGTGTGTGTGTTGTTATTATTAATCAAAAATATATTATAAAACGTTACTACTCTGACAGTGTAAATTAGAATAAAATTAAAATAGAAATGCAGCAAAGAGATTTTGGATGGCTGAAATATTCAAATTCATATTCATTACAAATAAATAAGACATAAAAATGCATTCACAAATGACAAAATGACACAGTTTGAAAAACTATTGTTAATAGTAGGAAATTATTTAAAGAAGCTGTATGTTGTAAACATGCAGAAAAAAAATTATGAAAATCATATCCCTTAATCCTTGATTAGATTCTAATATTCTGCTGGGGGATAGTAATGTTTTATATATATTTTATTTAATAATAATATTTATTGTGTATAATGTAAATAAATATCAATTTTCAGTATTAGTAATGTATATCAGAACATAATCTTTTTTTATCTCGACCGAATCATGTCACTCATCATACTATTAGCCGCAAGAAGCTGGAATCTATCTTGTTTAAAATCCTGCGCAATGGTTTTTGCGCAAGATGCTCGACGCTCGACGTTGCCATTTAAAGGCACTTTTAAGTCTATTAAGAACTCCATTGGTTTAGCCGTTATTGCGTAATGTCAGGTACTCGTAAAACGGTACTAGATACACGATCCATCAATATTATTACGCGTAACAATATTATTTAGCGTGAAATACTACCGTGTTTTTTGATGTAATTAAAAACTATTTTATTATACACTATTATACACTATTATACATTATTATACATTATTATACACTATTATATTTTATTTATTCGTAGGAGGATATAGAAAAGGTCATCGCTGAGATTGAGAAAGAGGAAGGCCGCAGACAACGCGTGAAAGAGATGATAGTAAACCCGCCGTCCAGACGAGTTAACTTCACTTTGACGGCGCATCCCTTTAAGAACGAACTTATTATGCTTGGCGGCGAATTTTATGATGGTCGGCAGGTAAATATAATATTTAAAAAAAAGTGATAAAACTGAATATTAGCAGCAATCTTAAAGTTCTTATACACAAAATGCGTCAACACTTTACGTGCGGCAAGAAATGATGTGGTGGCCAATCGATTTATAGCTTATCCGTAAGAGCGAAAGATTGATTGGCTAGCGTATACATTTTTATCATGCGTACTATATTAACGAGTTCGATGTGTAAGAGCCTTGAATCGGAAATTTTTGTAAGTCCGATTAGCGGACAGTACCTCTGGACGACGCATGATTGAAAATTTTGTAAGTCTGAGAGAAAGGGGGGAGGTTGAGAGTGGGAGAGAGATAGGGGGGCGAGAGACAGGAAGAGGAAGTAAAGGGGAGAAAGGGGGAGGAGGGAGAGGGAAAAGGTGGAATGAGAGGGAGAGGAGAGAGGGAGAAGGAAAGGAAGAGAGGAGGAACGAGAGGGAGAGGTAGGGAGAGAGAGATTGATCGAATTTTATTAGCTTTCTCAGCTAATTATAATAGAAGTCTAAATTATATTAGCTAAAATATACTCTTTTAATATTTGCTTAAGTGGCTTAATTCTTTCATAACTGGTACATAATCAGTATTGTTTCCAGAGACGCTTTTTCTCGCATACGCATTGAACGTAGTTTTCATTGAAGTACCAAATTTGTAAGAAAGAAGGTGCTCTTGAATTCTCTATCCCTTGAAACAATTGAAAATGCTGTAAAAGTCAGAAAAACAATATATTAGAAATTGAATATACAGGGTGGTCCTCGTAACGGTCGCCACGATTTTTAAGGCACTTACAATAATCTGACATAAAAAAGTCATAAACAGACAATGTATTTTTTCAAACAATTATTTGTATTTTTCTTTACACTAATTTATTTGTTTCATTATTCTGTACATGAAAGTATTACGGTAAGATTATCGAAAACTAAATATTTTACGAGATGTTTTATTTTTTATATCTAAATATGTGTGTCAGATTAAAATATAAAATAACTCAAAAAGTACTTAATGAAAAAATACTTTATTATAGTGTTTTGAAAAGCTCTCGAAATAAGTTAAAAGAATATGTAATAAAAAATGGGGAGTTCCATTTAAGAAAACATCGACCATATTGACCTCACCTTGAAAAGATCACTGAAGGTCAAATACTTATTTTTATCATGTGGCCCCCTCGAAACCATGAAACTTTTGTCTGAAACATTTTTTGATATCTCACTCCGTTTCCGAAAAATTTGCCCGCGTCACTATAAATGTATCATGTGGCCTCGAAACCATGCAACTTTTGTTTGAAACATTTTTATCTATCGGGCTCAGTTTTCGAAACAATCGCGTGGATTGATTAAAATGGTCCACTTTGTAGATCCACTTCTAATGACCTTCTAATAACCTTGACAAATATTATCAAGGTTATGTTCTTGAGTAACATCCAAAAAGTTTTAGCCGTCGCTCGTTGTTTATTAAGCAGTTACTAAAGTTACTATTAAAGGGTAAATATGCATAAAAGGTCACACCTCACCGATTTAGTCGCCACTTAGATATGTTATAGGGGGGAGTGTTCTGAGTAATTCTCTGCAAGAATCAAGTAGAAGATGGCATTGGTGTAGGAGATATAACAAATTGAAGTTTGACAATAAAGTTTATGTATGCTGTAATAATCTATTATTTTTTGATTGGAAAAGATTGTTTACATCATTTACGTATGAGCGGGGGAGAGGCTCTATCCTTCCTCCCTCATCCCGAAAAAATTCTAACCTAACCCAAACCTATTTTGAAATTTAAAAGTAAAGTTGGGTTGGGTTAGGTTAGAATTTTTTGAGGGAGAGGCGGAGCCCCTCTCCCGCACACGCATTCAATAAATAATATTTTTCAAGACAAGACTCAGAAATTCATGTAACTTTTACATGACTTTGCATGTTGAAAGCTGTTAAGCTAACGAACTGCGAGAAATATACAGGGTGGTCCATCTTAAAAGAGCCAGTCAAATATCTCGAAAAATATGGAAGATACGGAAAAACGTTTCAGACAAAAGTTGTTTGGTTCGCCGAACCAAACAACTTTTGTCTGAAACATTTTTCTGTATCTTCCATATTTTTCGAGATATTTGACTGGCTCTTTTAAAATGGACCACCCTGTATAAAACCGATTATTGACAAAATATGTATGACCATGTACCTATTCCGTAAATGTAAACAAACTCTTTCCATATCTATTTTACAACAAATACAATGTATACAAACTTCACTTTTCTTAATATTACTTTATAATACCTGAGAAAAAGCATTGCTAAACTGTGAAACTTAAATTTCTTATATCTTCTAAATCAATGCCGTCCGCCACTTAATTCTATTCAGAACACTCCTCCCTACAATATATCTAACAATAAGTGGCGATTAAATCGGTGAGATGTGATTTTTTATGCATATTTACTGTATATTTTAATATTTAAATTAATGCATAGGCGGAGGAAGGGCTTTGCCCTTCTTTCTGTACCTCATTCCGAGAAATTTTAACATATCCCAAACTTATTTTTAATTAAAGTAAATGTACGAATCCTTTCCCAATTACCTTAACCTTCACATATGTTATTATGACTATAGTCCGACCGAACCTTCGGCTTTGACTTCGGCTTCGGTCATCTTCGGCCAAAAATTACACCTTCGGCAAAATAATTGGCTTCGGCCAAAATCAATCGGAAGGTTTTGTTGAAGCCGAAAGTTGAAACTACATAGACGTGAGGATGCAGGAAGAGAGCGCGGATGAGTGACAAGTCGCTGCTTATTTGATTTCGTTACCCCGGTATTATTTTAAATCACAACTCCGCAAATATACAGTAAATAAAAACAAACAAAAACACTATGTCAACTTAATAGCAAATGCACACACATTCAGCTAAAAAGAAGTATTTCCCTTACTTCTTTAGTATTATCAGTATTTATCAGGCATTACGCAATTCCTTCGGCTTCCACTTCGATTTCGGCCGAAAGTAACAAAAAAACCGAAGTTCGGCTTCGACCTTGGCCAAAAAAATTGATCTTCGATCGGACTCTAGTCATGATCTCCTGAGTAATATTCAAAAAATTTTAGCCATCGCTCGTTGTTTATTAAAAAGTTATTAATAATTAAAAATTCATTTACAGGAAATTTATACATATATATTGATAACAAACAATTTAACATTAGACATAGTTTAATGTTTGTTTATAACTTTGTAATAAATAACTAGCGACAGTTGAAGTTTTTGAACATTAATATTGTAAGGATTACGACCTTAATCACATACTTCAGTCATTAAAACGAGAAGTCGTCTTTAATAATGAATTATAATCAAGGTCATGACAACATATATCAAGGTCAATTTTATTAAAAAATTAATAAAATTCTCTGTTTTGCATTCTTTGATGGAGCAGTAAAATTCGGTAATAAGATTAAGAGATTAAGATAAGATTAAGAGATCTAAAAATGAAAAAAATTATCTGTTCTATTTAATAAAACAAAATCCAAAAATAACATGGTTTAATCATATTTATTTTTGTTTTAGACCATTGTATATAGCGATATGTTCTCCTATAATATAAATAAGCGAGAATGGACATTGATAAAAGCGCCTGGAGCACCGCCACCGCGATGCGGTCATCAGACGGTGGCTACGACTGCAAATGGCACTGGTGAATTATGGGTATTCGGCGGTGAATTCACTAGTCCGAGTGAGTCGCAATTCTATCATTACCGTGACTTGTGGGTATTTCGATTCGCCGAAAAAAAATGGGAAAAGATCACGTATGTATAATTTCACGTAACATAATTTTATTCTCAGTAAGGAATTTATATGAAAAAAATATTATTTTTTTGTAATTTAAATATACATTATTATAAATTTATTTACAACAAAATTTTTAATTTTTATTAATAGGTAGATATAAAAAATTAAATTGAAATTTAATAATATTTGAAATTTTTTGTATTGTGAGAAAACGATTTTGATTGATTGACAAGTGTGGCGTTACATTGCAATAGGCTGCGTTCCGTTTTATGCATGATGCGCATGGAAGCATAGAAATTCGTTCCGTTTCTCTTTATGGGCACTCGCTGCATGCATGGTCCAACCTACTGTCAACTGCGTTGGCCCACCACTACCGGTGCATGAGACCGCATGGAGTGCCTCACTTCGGCTGCATTCCGTTTCATGCATGAAACGAAACGCAACCTTCGCGAGCTGAGACAGTTCATGCAGCTTATGCATTTGATAGAAATTAGCGCGAATTTTAATTATTAGATTAAGTTTAGATTTACATTTACATAGATTAAACATCCTCAATGGCGGATAAATTACCGTCCCAACTCTTTTCGGCGAGAAAGAAGAATTATATACAATTATATATAATTATAATTATCAATTTTAAGAAATTAAGGCTCTTGAGTGACATCACAAATTTCAAATAATCGCGGGCTGGTAAGATCCAGAACGCGGATGGTAGTGCGTCGGTTTCATAGAAAAACAAGTTTTCTATGAAACTGACGCACTACCATCCGCGTTCTGGCTCTTACTAGCCCGCGATTATTTGAGATTATAATTATAATATATATTATATTGACTATATATACATATACAGGATGTTTCATTTTAATCGCCCCAGGTAAATATCTCGAAAAATATGAAAGATATGGAAAAACGTTTCAGACAAAAGATTCATGGCTTCGAGGGGGCCACATGATAAAAATATGGACTTGACCTTGAGTGACCTTTATAAGGTGAGGAAAATGTGGTCGATGTTTTCTTAAAAGGAATCCCCCATTTTTTATTGCATATTCTTGTAGCTTATTTCGAGAGCTTTTCAAAACAGTAGAATAAAGTATTTTTCATTAAGTACTTTTTGAATTATTTTATATCTTAATCTGACACATATTTTGATATAAAAAATAAAATATTTAGTTTTCGATAATCTTACCGTAATACTTTTACACAATAATGAGACAAATCAATCAGTATAAAAAAAAGAATTGTTTTTAAGAAAAAGTATGTAATTATTTACAATGTATATTCATAAGAGCTTTTATTCGTTAATTTGATATATTATTATATATAATTATAATTATAATTATAATTATTATATTATATTATATATTATTATATTATATTATATATTATATCTGCTGCTGCTTGAAAAACATGAGTCTTCTTCTTTGATCATAAAAGCAGATGAAACAGCAATTATAGAAATTAATTGTGATTTAGTTAACCTTAAACTGTCATCCATGTTTATTATTTGCTGCGTGGAATTTGTTTCGTTACTAGAGGCGCATGATGAAGTGCGATGCAAAAAGGGAACGATCCGGTCCCTGCATTTCATGCCCTGTGTCAGTATCTATGCGCTCTATGCATAAAATGGAACGCAACCATAGTTTCAATTGTCTGCTGATTGTTAGTGTTTTATCATTGCGATACTACGGCCGTTGTTGAACTGTTAATATCTGTGTATCTTAAAATAAAATGCCAAATCAATTGGATCCTGGATTCGTTAAAGCTGATTCAACGAATTTGCCAAAAATAAATATATTTATGGTTTGGGAGTACATTTTGTAACTGATGAGCGATGCTTTAGAAGTTCGAGAAATAAAAGCAGCTTTGTAAGAACAAATATATATTCCCAGATAGCCAAGTCTGTTCGAACAGATTTTGCCAAACGTCTGCTACAAAATTATTATTATAGTAGTAATTCTTTTCAATTATTTCAATTACGTATGAATTATTATAATTAATATGTCTATTATAGATCTTCGAGAGAAAATTACGGAGTATCCACTATAGGTTATGTCAGATATTTTTACAAGACATATATATGTTGTTTGACATTTTTATAAATGTTATAATTAAAGCATAAAAAAAACATGTTTTCTTAATACTTATGTATATCGAAATGATCTTGACAACAAAAATAACTCCATTTTCCTAGTTCATCAGCATGGTGTGCACTTCTAAACCATTTTCTTCTCACGTTTTTATTTTGAGGTACATAAAAAAACTGTTTATCTGGTGTTTTAATTGTAGTATTTTACACAAAGGTACGAATCACATCTTATATGTATTTCCTTTGCTCATTTTCCAAAATAAATGAATTGTTGCAATTGATAAAAGTAGTTTCTTTGGCTGCGGTCCGAAATACGTTCGCAGCGCTATTAGCGCGCTGCCAGCTATAGTGCACGTGACGTAAACTATAGATTTTCAGTACTGTGAGCGCTGTGAGTGCATTTCGGACCGCAGCCTTTATTGCAATGTGACGTCACACAGCGTTTGGGAAGACTCGGTCGTTTCCGGACCGTATTCGACAATTTTAAATAATGCAATGTTTTATTATTTATTTTCTCGCTTAATTTGCGTTAAAAAATTACGAAAAAAAATTACAATTAGAAATATGTACAAATTATTAAATGCAATATTTTTTAAATCATGCAGATTCCCTATTGTGAAAAGTTATTTAAGTTTCTTAAAAATTTTAAATTATGAATATTTTTTATAAATATAAAATATTTAAAAAAAATTCAAAAATATAATATTTTTAACTGCATGCATTTATTATAAAATACACTATTAAAAAAATAGGGAACATTTTTCATACACTAAAAATTAGGCAATTTTCAAATCGCTGAAACTCGACAAAAAATTATCGTAGACAAAAAATTAAGAAAGCATTTTGAAGCTCGAAGTTTTAACTTCAATGTGCTATTGGTAGTTTAAAAAAATTTTTTTATCTTATTCTCTGCTTTAAAAAAGTGTTGGGCATGTCGTCTCTCCGTGGCGGTCGACACTACATCCATTGAGCGAGATTCCAACATCGCTCTGGAGTCGTATAAAAACTGTGTTAAAGTGGCATAAAGTGTGAGGTCTAAATAGGTCAGTGGTAAGAGCAGTTGCCCGGAAAGCGAAAGGGTTCGATTCCCGATTCAGCCACTCGTACCTCGCATATTTTTTTAGATCCGCGAATATTGTTTTCTAACAATTATTTGTCGGGCTGGAAGAGTGTGTAAATGCCCTACACAGATACGACAGTGCTGCTGCCACGGAAGAGATGGATGCTTGGTGCCTCCTGCTGCCTTAAATCCCCCCCTCACTTCAGTTACATTGTTTTATTTCTTAAAATTACGTATCTTTGACACTCTGCAGATCGATAAAAAAATTTCTGTTGAGAAATTTAAGTTAAGTTTTATAAACTACAACATTTTGGCTACAAAACTTTTTTTACAACGCTTCTTTTAAAATTTTCCTACACTTATCAGCTACTTGTATCTCGCATATTTTTTTAGTTCACAAATATTGTTTTCTAGCAATCATTTGTTGAGCAGTGCCTCTGCCGCAGATAGATGATTGCTACAAGTGTGTCTGGGCTTGTGCTACCCTTTACTACATACATCTCTGTTTATTACTTGAATAAATACTCGAATTTTGGCCGAGTTACGATTTTGAAACTAAATTTATATTTTTTTAAAAATGATGTTTATACTCAGCGAACAATAATCGCAGACAAAAATTAAAGAAGCATTTTGAAGCTTGATAAGTTTCAATTTTAACGTGCTATTGATATAGTTCAAAAAATTTTTTTTATTTTCTCAGTTCTGTGTCTTAAAAAAAGATATCTAAAAATACAGGTTTAGTTTTAAAATTGTGTAAAAAGAATGGCCAAAAAAGTTATAGGAAAATTTAAAAAAAGCGTTTTGTAAGTAAAATATAGTTTTTGGAACTTGATTTAAATTTTTTGAGAGAAATTTTTTTATCGAAATTTTTTGCAGTGTTAAAAGTAAGTAATTTTATTGATTAAACTCATTAAAAATTTAATTGATTTAATCACACATGACTGAGATAATCTTTCAATTAAGCGAGTCGCATATAGATACACGGTCCGCCCCGCTGTTTACTGCGCGTGACTTGGCACTAGATATTATTGTATCTTTGAATATCATACTTTTATGTTCTTCTTGAAACAAAATAACTTTTGTGTAAAATATTTTTAATACAAATGCTTTATTTTTGAATTATTACACTATATTGATTAAAATAGATCATCTATATATGTATATTGATGATTATAGAGCTGCAAACTGTCCGTCAGCTAGAAGTGGACATAGGATGCTACACATAAAGAAGCAGCTGATAGTGTTCGGCGGATTCTACGATAATCTGCGGCATGATTATAAATATTTCAATGATGTACACATTTTCGATCTGGAGACTTACATGTGGCGGAAAATCGAGCCTACTGGTAAGCTAACAAACAGCAAATAATCTATTGAATATGTTCTTTATGAAAATATGTTTATTCAAATTGAATTAAATCATATTTAAAGAAATAGTTTTATGTAACAATAATTTTTAGATAACAAAATGCTGAATGAATCACCTAACTTGACCACTTTAAATCACTCGTAAACTTTTGTTTTATGAAAAAATGTATCAAACAAAAATCGCATAGTATCAAAATGGACATTAGAGTACAGTAATCAATTTTTTGCTATCTTGTTTTTTTTATGGAATACCCAATATTTTATTCCGAAATTTGAAAGAATATCGAACGTTCAATGAAAAATATTCAAGTATATACGATTATATAAAGTTGAAAAAGTCAATAATTATTCGAACATTCTTAAAATAATTTTATGTGTGTGAAGCTAGCATATCATTTCGTGGAAGATCATAAATAATTAAAAGTTCTGGCTTTATTTTCAATAGTTCTAGAGTTCTTGATAGTTTAAACAAATAGTTCTGGCGATTAAACCAAAGAAAATGCCTCAGGACAAACTGATATGCCAACTTCACGCAGCATATCACTTTGTCCTACGACATTTTCCTTATCAATAATTGTTTAAATTTAAAAGATTTATAGTTCTACATGAGTTCCAAGAAGAGTTCTGCCTTTTAAAAGTAAAAAAATATTCATTAAAATGAAATAAAACAATTTTTTACCTGAAAACTCGTATTTTCGAGACTAGAGGTGATATGCTGGCCGTATTTCGAGAGTTCTGCTTATTATGAAATAGTTCTCGTGTAGTTTTGGGCATGTACATTGCTTTCCCAAAGAGTTCTGATGAAGGAAATAATTAAAAAATTTTTTAAACAATTATTTTACCCGAAAACTTGTATTTTTGAGTATAGAGGTGATATGCTGGCCGTATTTCGAGAGTTCTGCTTATTATGAAATAGTTCTCGTGTAGTTTTGGGCATGTACATTGTATTATTTCCTTCATCAGAACTCTTTGGAAAAGCAATGTACATGGCCAGAACTACACGAGAACTATTTCATAATAAGCAGAACTCTCGAAATACGGCCAGCATATCACCTCTAGTCTCGAAAATACGAGTTTTCGGGTAAAAAATTGTTTTATTTTATTTTAATGAATATTTTTTACTTTTAGAAGGCAGAACTCTTCTTAGAACTCATGTAGAACTATAAATCTTTTAAATTTGGACAATTATTGATAAGAAAAATGTAGGACAAAGTGATATGCTGCGTGAAGTTGGCATATCAGTTTGTCCTGAGGAATTTTCTTTGGTTTAATCGCCAGAACTATTTGTTTAAACTATCAAGAACTTTAGAACTATTGAAGATAAAGCCAGAACTCTTAATTATTTATGATCTTCCACGAAATGATATGCTAGCTTCACACACACAATAATTTTTAATATAAATATTGATTGATATGTTGTGTGTTCATTATTTACAATCAATGCAAATGCGAAATTGATTAATAATTGAAAGTAATACACATTGAAATGTTTCTGCAATTATAGTATCACTTTTTAGAAAAAATAAAAAGGGCTCCAATTTTACGCATCTATTTAAAAAATGTATTAAAAAGTATTGCTTTAATGTATATTTTACTTATACTAATTACTAATTGTTAAACTACATGGTAAAATATTTTATTAAATATTTTACTAAATCATTCAACAATTATTAAGCAAATAATTGATTGTTGTCGACTATTATATATAATGTCAGTTGAAATTTTTTTTTAAGGTATTGCACCTGCTCCTCGGTCCGGCTGTATATTTTTGCCGACTGTCGACAATAAGCTTGTCGTATACGGAGGCTATAGCAAGGAAAAAATAAAAAAAGAGATGGATCGGGGTTGCATTCACGCCGATATGTTTCTTCTATCGCAAACGGACAGAAACGACTTAACTAAGTACAAGTGGATTTGCATAAAACAAACTGGGATTCGAGTGACTCCAAGATGTGGCGCTTCTGCTACATTAATCCAACACGCGAATCAGGCCTTCGTGTTTGGCGGTGTTTATGACAATGACGATGATGACGATGATGATGATGATGATGATGAAAATCTATGTGAAACATTTTACAACGATCTACTTGCATTGGATCTGGAAACATTACACTGGCGCGCCGTAACATTAACTGAGAAAAAAGCAACAACTCTCACTGACGACACCAAAGGACGACGAAGGAAAAAAAAAGAGGAAGAAGTAGATGAAGAATCAGAACAGAGTAATGATTTTGAGCAAGAAGTACCAAAAGAATCTCCAAATTCTATACAACCTACAGTTACTGTGGACAACGACGGAATATTTACGGTATGCTTTTTTTCCTTTTTTTATACATATACATAAAATACACATGAATATATTAAACGTCCCAGTCAGCCACATCAGTTCTAACAGATATTGCCAAGTGCTTGCTACAAATTATTGTCAGCAAAAAGGCTACAAATTTGGTACAAAAGTTGTTATTACCGATTAAGCTGGCAGATTGCCGGCAAGAACCAAGCAAAGTTTGCTAACATAACTAGACAGCAAATTGGCGGCAAAAACCGAGCAAACCTTGCTGACATGACTGACATCAGATTGTCGGCAAAAACTGAGCAAGATCTGGAGTGCGCAATCTGATGGCAAATTGGCAGCAAAAACCGAACAGAATCTGCAGCTTATCACAAAGTATTATAAAATAGTTCAGTCGCTTATCGCTATGCTGCGCGTTATTCATTATCTATACCCGTATTCAAATTCTTGTCATGAGTGTATAAAGCCTGCAAAATGCTAATAATATTATGATATATATATTTCCATCAGGTCAATTTTTGATACAATTCTTATACAGGAAATTCAGATATTGAACTGATTTTTGGCAAATCGGACAAATAATTGTTCGATTTTCACTTATTCGAACAATTTCTGTCCAAAAAGATCTTTAATTTTATAAATTAAATTATTTAAATTTATCTATATGTTTTAACACATTAATATATGATTTTATATAATGTCTGATTATCTAATGATTATTTTATGACCAAAACTTATCATCATTTTGTTACTTAGGGTTGAGACTTTAAATCCATTTAAATATACTATTTTATATGAATGGCCAAAAGCTGCAGAATTTGTTCGGTTTTTGCTGACAATCTGATGTCAGATTGTCTTGCGCAAATATTGCTCGATTTTTGCCACCAATTTGACGTCAAATCATGTCAAGCTTTGCTCGGTTTTTGCCGTCAATTTGATGTCAGGTTATGTCAGCAAGCTTTGTCACCAAAACACAAGCTTAATGCGGACAAAGATGGCACTGGATTTGTTACCAAGTGTTGAGCGAATTTGATGCCAATTTGGCAACAATTTGTTATCAAATTGCTTACTGGGGTTATATGTTACATTTTATTGGGACATAACCATTTCTGTTCGTATTTGTAAACAATTAATGACAATCAATACAATTTATAACAAACATAACAATTAATAACAAACAATTATAAACAATCAATTCACGCTTTTTCAATTGGCTTTTAATACTTCATATGCGACAGGAAGAATGGCATTTTCAACCATTTGTAATGATTTTTAATGAAATAATGCATTACTGAAACTTGTTGCACTTTGATCTATATCAAGTCATGATGCGTTTATAAATACGAACACAAATAGTTGTGCCTAGCAAAATTCCAATTTTTAAATCAAGTATAGTTTTAAGTCAGATAGCAAAATGCTAGCAGTATGCCAATAGTGTGCTAGCAAATTCAATCATGATTTTGTAACAGATTCTAATGTGTTGCGTTCTCATTAAGCTTAATTTCTGGTAGCTTGCTGATATAGTATGATAGTGAAATTGCAGCAAAAATCGAGCATTGTTTGCTATTATGTCGTGATAGCAGATACATAGCAAATATCTAGCAAAGTCTACTATATCAAACACTGGCGGCAAAAATGTAGCAGAAACCATGGTGATTTCCATGATATTTAATTCAAAATCAAGTGTATTAAAGTAGCTTTGAAAGAGATAATTTCAACTTGTAAACATACGAAAACGCACATATAAAAAAATAAAAAATAAAAAATTTTTTATTTTTAATTTTGCTCTATAATCTATCCAAAGTCCATCAAAATTAGTGAGAATAAAACAGTGATTAATAGAGGATATAATATTAATCTCTTTCTTACAAGCAAGAATTGATTCTAAATTATATAGTTCAAGAAATCTGTCATTAAAAAGAAATTTAGTGGGTTTTTTGATACATAGATGGTAATAGGCTCAACGGCACCAACTTCTTCGTCATTTCTCCATCAATCTTCTTCGGCAGTAGCAAATGACAGAAGGGAAAAATGTTTTCCATCTCCGCGGATGAATGCCGGAATGGTGATGAAACACAACGTTTTGTATTTATATGGTGGCTTGGTGGAAGAAGATGATCGACAATACACTCTTTGCGATTTCTACAGTCTGGGTATGTTATTAATGATATGTATTATATATGTGTGCGTGTGCGTGTGCGTGCGTGCGTGCGTGCGTGTGCGTGTGCGTGTGTGTGTGTGTGTGTGTGTGTGTGTGTGTGTGTGTGTGTGCGTGGAAAAGTTAGAAAGTATCATATTTTAATTTTCTAATACTAGTAATATATATATTTTTATACATATTTTTTAATAGCCATTATCGAAATAAATTTGATAATGTATAAATATGTAGAAGATACATGGTATAAGAGATTATTTTCAGAGATCATTTAAATTTAAAGGAGCAAATATGTTATTAAATTTTCAATTTTCAATTTTCTCGGAAATAAAGCCTTTTAAAAAATTTTATTCTGTATTTTTGACATTTTTGCCTGAGAAAATATTTTGGTTATGCTACATTTCTTGATCTATTCTGTATTTTCTTATAAATTTTACAAAGCTTGCCAGCTATGATGTTTAGGAAGTTAAAATTTGCTCTTAAAATTGCTCGGTCACAACCAACAACTAACAACTTTAAAATTTTAGAAATGCCAATTTCTAAAAAAAAGAATAAGATATATCATATCTATAATGATATTCTAGAATTTTATATACATATTCGACTGAAAATCAAATTTTGTAGAATTTGATTTTTGTCAAAAATTTAAAGTAAATTTATTAATATTTGTACATAACTTTGTTAAATGAGGTGCATAGTTTTGTTTCACTACTTTGCTCCATCTTTCTAGAAGTTTCGTGATTTCTTCTTCCCAGAACTTCTCATTTTTTTCAGCAGAAATGCAGCACATGTTTATGCATCAATATATGCTACAAAAATGCTGCAAAAATTAAAAGCAGAACTTCTTAATAAAAACAGTAGAATTTGAGTATTGAATGTTGGCACAATATGTCAACAAAAACTAGTTATAATTCTTTTGTTTACTATTATACAACGTATCTATTTTGTATTTAAGTTTTTGTTACGGGCAAATATGAAGATTGCAAAGCGTGGTTAATGAAATTAAAAATGTATAGTGTTTAACAAACGAGATCACAATATGGCTTTAAATATTACAATATAAATGACATCAAAAACGATCTAATAAAAATTCGAGGCAAATAGCGCAAAAAATAAAAATAAAATTTCCTAATAATTATTAGGTGAATTTATTAATTAGACATTTCGGTCTCATTTCGGACCATATTCAGTAATTATATAGACAAATATATAGACAAAAAACATACAATAACAAAGTTGATATATATACATGGAAAACCGAAAAAGAATACATACTTGATATAAATTAAAAAGACAAAGGCATATATTATGCGATCGAAACAATAATAGGGTATTTTAGAACTCACAACGAACTTTCCATACGAGATCCATCGGTTCTTGCCTTTAGGAGAAGCGATGTAATAAGCAATATGTGCTGTATTACATCCACATATTAATTAGTTGCGAACCAATGCATCGGTTGCTAATTGGAACAATATAACTTATTATTAGTAAAAACAAAAGCCACTCACCGAGAGATTGCAAAGCGCATAGGACACGTAAAAAAATAAAATATCTCGTAAAATATTTAGTTTTCGATAATCTTACCGTAATTTGAAAAGGTCACTCAAGGTCAAGCCCATATTTTTATTATGTGGCCCTTCGAAATCATGCAACTTTTGTCTGAAATATTTTTTCCAATCTCTTTTACTTTAAGAGATATTTAGCTGCATCACTTAAAATGATACACTCTGTATATTATATAAAAAATGTGACAGTAATAATACACAGAACAAGAGTAAGTCACCCATGTTGTCAGATGGTAAATGTTATATAACGTAATTTCGAGACAGAAAGAGACTGTCCAATAAAATATACTACATTAAAAAATAACTGGCAATATAATTATACCGAACTTGAGTGAGTCACTCATGTTATACAGAAGGCAAATGTTACACACGGATGTTCGAGACAGTGATGCCAGAAACTGACCCCGGTAGCATGCGGCAGCATGTGGAGGGGATAACACAACAATAGAAAACAACATTCATGTGAGACATGTACGTGGTTTTCGATTGTATGTGTATCTCTTCCACATGCTACCTCATGCTACCGGAGTCAGTTTCTGGCATCACTGGTTCGAGACAGAATGTCAAGTCTCTTTATATCGCACGATACATAAAATATATATGAATACAGAGGAATGTTTACAAATAAGACATGACTTTCAAAGTTTTGGTAACTTATCGATCACATCTGTATAAGCATAATATAAACACTCCGTGTCCGTCTGTAAATTAAGGCTATTTTCTTGCCTTTTAATGTATACCATTTCAGAAATTAAGCGCTTTTTAAACAAAGGTTTACTATCCAGAATTTCGACTCCATCCCAATCAAAATCGTGATTAAATTCTAATCTATGATCGGTTAAAACGGAATGATTCGTCGTATTCCGTCTAATATGACTGCGATGTTCGGATATCCTTGTACGTAAATGTCTGCCCGTTTGACCGACGTGAGACGTTACAATTACTGCAATTGATTTTATAAACGACATTGCTGTGCAAAGCTTTAGGAAGAGTGTCTTTGTGAACTCTAATGTAACTATGTAATTTATTGAGACTAAAGTAGGACAATCTGAGATTAAGATTCCTCGTTTTAACCGATCACAGATTAGAATTTTCATCACGATTTTGGTTGGGATGGAGTCGAAATTATGGATAGTGAACCTTTGTTTAAAAAACGCTTAATTTCTGAAATGGTATACATTAAAAAGCAAGAAAATAGCCTTAATCTACAGGCGGACACGGAGTGTTTATATTATGCTTATACGGATGTGATCGATAAGTTACCAAAACTTTGAAAGTCATGCCGTCTTATTTGTAAACACTTCTCTGTATTCATATTTACTTTATGTATCGTGTGATATAAATAGACTTGACATTCTGTCTCGAACATCCGTGTGTAACATTTGCCTTCTGTACAACATAGGTGACTCACTCAAGTTCGGTATAATTATATTGCCGTTATTTTTTAATGTAGTATATTTTATTGGACAGTCTCTTTCTGTCTCGAAATTACGTTATATAACATTTACCATCTGACAACATGGGTGACTTACTCTTGTTCTGTGTATTATTACTGTCACATTTTTTATATAATATACAGAGTGTATCATTTTAAGTGATGCAGCTAAATATCTCTTAAAGTAAAAGAGATTGGAAAAAATATTTCAGACAAAAGTTGCATGATTTCGAAGGGCCACATAATAAAAATATGGGCTTGACCTTGAGTGACCTTTTCAAAGTGAAGTCAATGTGATCGATGTTTTCTTAAATGGAACCCCCCATTTTTTATTGCATATTCTTGTAGCTTATCTCGAGAACTTTCCAAAACATTATAATAAAGTATTTTTTCATTAAGTACTTTTTGAGTTATTTTATATTTTAATCTGACACAGAATGTCAAGTCTATTTATATCACACGATACATAAAGTAAATATGAATACAGAGAAGTGTTTACAAATAAGACGGCATGACTTTCAAAGTTTTGGTAACTTATCGATCACATCCGTATAAGCATAATATAAACACTCCGTGTCCGCCTGTAGATTAAGGCTATTTTCTTGCTTTTTAATGTATACCATTTCAGAAATTAAGCGCTTTTTAAACAAAGGTTTACTATCCAGAATTTCGACTCCATCCCAATCAAAATCGTGATTAAATTCTAATCTATGATTGGTTAAAACGGAATGATTCGTCGTATTCCATCTAATATGACTGCGATGTTCGGATATCCTTGTACGTAATTGTCTGCCCGTTTGACCGACGTGAGACGTTACAATTACTACAATTGATTTTATAAACGACATTGCTGTGCAAAGCTTTAGGAAGAGTGTCTTTGTGAACTCTAATGTAACTATGTAATTTATTGAGACTAAAGTAGGACAATCTGAGATTAAGATTCCTCGTTTTAACCGATCACAGATTAGAATTTTCATCACGATTTTGGTTGGGATGGAGTCGAAATTATGGATAGTGAACCTTTGTTTAAAAAACGCTTAATTTCTGAAATGGTATACATTAAAAAGCAAGAAAATAGCCTTAATCTACAGGCGGACACGGAGTGTTTATATTATGCTTATACGGATGTGATCGATAAGTTACCAAAACTTTGAAAGTCATGCCGTCTTATTTGTAAACACTTCTCTGTATTCATATTTACTTTATGTATCGTGTGATATAAATAGACTTGACATTCTGTCTCGAACATCCGTGTGTAACATTTGCCTTCTGTACAACATAGGTGACTCACTCAAGTTCGGTATAATTATATTGCCGTTATTTTTTAATGTAGTATATTTTATCGGAAAGTCTCTTTGTGTCTCGAAATTACATTATATAACATTTACCATCTGACAACATGAATGACTCACTCTTGTTCTGTGTATTAATACTGTTACATTTTTGATATAATATATTCCACATATTTTGTAATTACGCTGAGGATGGTCCAAAAAAAAGGACCGAAACGTACGCTTTTTTGTGATTTTGTCTATCACGTAGTCAAAATATCAATGTAATTTGATTGTAATAAAACATATGCGCACAGATTACCGCGCTGGCTCTTGTGATTGCCTTTTATCTCCGTTGTATGATATTAGGTGTACAACTATGCTTCCGCCGTTTTTTTCCCCGAAATTCGAGGCTTTATTGTAAAAAACTGGTTATACATTTATGATTCAAATAAATAGTGTTTTTTTAATGGTATGATAACTTCATCTCTCACTTCATTCTCAAAACAATAAAGTTTATGTTTAAGTTATTAAGGTATGAAAAAGACTAAATAATCCACATTGGTGGTGATATATGTGAATTTATGTATATAGGGTCGATAGTCCAACAATGAACCATGTAAATTTCAGAGGCTTATATCTCTCTCAGTTATTGAGTTGGAGATCTGTGTTTTTGCATACAGTTTATGAATTTAGTTGGCTACATACTATAGAAGATGACTCATAACAATAATATTTTTTAAGTTTAGTCACAATTTTGATTATTTAAAAAAATGTGAAATGGTTCATTCTGTACAAGAGTGTGTGTACACAATGAATCTAACTATTTTTAACAATGAATCACATGTTTTATACTGTGAATTGTTAGGGTTATTTTAGTTTTGTTATGTTTTACTATGTTTATTTAGGGAAGAGATAATTATAAAACATGATAAGTAAGGTCAGGATAATATGAATTTAAAGCCAACTTAATTATGTTGTTTTTATTATTTGAAGCTTACAATCAGAATTATTATTTTTGATTAGACTTTTTCTCATTTAGATTATTATTTATTGTAGCAACTTAGATTATTATTTATTGTAGCAACTCAATCACAATTTAATCAGACTTATAACACAGATAAGTAGTCAAAAACAATAATATTTCAACATAAATTTTACTTTCTTTGGCTTTATCATATATACAGGGTGTTAGAAAAGTCTGGAAACGGTCAAATATCTCGTAAACAATGCATTTTAGAAAAAAATGTTTCAGACAAAAGTTGTATATATATATATCTATATATATACATATTCGGGTTATAACGTTCTACGACGTCTTCCGATTCCCGCTTGACATTGTTTTCGATCCCTCCACAGGTTCTCTTGTAGATTTCTCTCTCTCATTTCGTTATCAATCCTTTCTCTCCAACTTCTTCTCGACCTCCCCCTCCTTCTCCTTCCTTGAGGTGTCCACGTTAGAATTTGTTTAGGTAGCCTGTCATTCCTCATCCTTTGTACGTGATCGTACCATACCAACTGCTTTGTTTTGATGTCGTCTACTATTGTGTGATTAGCTTCCATTATTTCCCGTATCCTATTGTTTGATACTCTTTCTATTCTAGACTTTCCAGCAGACCTTCTCCAGAAATCCATTTCAGTTTTCAGCAATGTTTTTTCTGTAGTCTTCTTTATCTGCCATACTTCACTACCATAGGTTACTATACTCTTCAGAATAGTGTTATATATATGTTTTTTGTTAGCTTTGGATATGGTTTGATCCCACAATATTCCATTTATCATAGCTATGGTTCTTCGTCCTTGGATGTTCCTCTCCTTGATCGCTTCATCTAGGATCCCATTTTGTGTTATTTTCAGCCCCAAATATTTGTACTCTTCACACTGCTGGATTATTTGCCCATTTTCTAAAACAATGTCTTGTTGCGTACCTCCAATGCACATACATTCTGTTTTTTTACATTAACCTCCAGCCCCCATTTTCCATATTCTTCAATTAGTTTTCGTGTCATATAACTTAAATCGTCATGCTCCTGAGCTAATTCGATCTGGTCGTCTGCAAAGCACATTGTGTAGATGGTATAATCGTTGTTAAATGGAATTCCCATGCCATTACACTTTCTTTTCCATATCTTGAGTGCTTGTTCTAGATAAATTTTGAAAAGTGTAGGTGAGATGCAGCATCCCTGTTTCAGACCCTTTGAGACCGTGAAACCACTAGAAATTCTCTGTCCCACTTTAACCTTAGCAATATTGTTCTTATATAGCCCTTTTGACACTGCTTTTATGAGACCATTCTGGATATTAGTTTGTTCCAAGGCCGCCCAAAGTTTATTAAGCGGAACATTGTCATAGGCTTTCTGCAGATCCATATATAACAGATGGATTTCCTGGTTCACGGCGGTTTTTTTCTCGATGACCTGGGTTACGCAATACAGATGATGCTGTTGAAATAAGAAGTTTTGACTTAATCAATGCGCCCTTTTATAGGAACTAGAGACATCTATGAACGTTCTTATTGGCGGTTTGCCTTACTGTAGTGCTATCACGCGTTCGGTTTTCGCCTTACCTTCTTCTTCCGGTTGATCTCGACTCGTGTACTGTTTAACTTTCTGTGATCTCAAGCGAAATAAATATATCTCGTTTCTGTTCATGCATATATATACAAGTGTGGTAATTGAACCTCAACCCAACAGATGCACGGTAGATCGTCCAGCTCTAAACCCCGCTTGCTCTTCTGCCTCTAAATCTTTATACTCGGCTTCGATTTTATCTTTTAGTATTTTTCCATATATTTTGCTCAATGTATTGGTTACTGATATCCCTCTATAATTTTCGCAATTGTCTTTGCTGCCTTTTTTATGTATGGTTGATATTATAGATATTTTCCATTCATTAGGGGTTTCAGCGCCGTTAAGGCAGTCTTGGAACAACTCCGTCAATTGCGCATAGAGCCCATCAGCACCATATTTAATTAGCTCGGCTGGGATGTCACCTGGACCTGGGGATTTACCATTCTTGAGTAATTTACATATTTTCTTCACTTCGTTTATAGTTATTCTTATAGAGGATGTGATTATATTAACACCTGTAAAATTGCTTTCCTCTTTGAACTCTGCTCTGCTTTCCGTTAAGAGGTTTTTAAATGGCTTTATCAACAGCCTAGAAAATAATTATCAACATAATATCGAATAATAAAAAATTACAGTGTCTCAACTTAAATTCTACTTCTACTTTGGTTTAATCATTACATATGATAACTATCAGCAAAACAAAAATAAACTCAAAACTATTAATAATTGTCAAAAACAATAAAAAACAAACTTAAATTCTTATGCGAATAATAAAAAAAATTTTAAAAAGGTTTAAGAGTAGGTATGCTCTAAAAATTAATTATATGCACTAAATTAATTAATTGCACTCATATGAAGGGAGAAATGATATGTCATATTTCGGTTTTTGGTTCCATTAACTTGTGTGGATGTGTGGTATGAATTTAATGTCTTCTATTCTTTCAGCTGCTAAATCAGGTTCTAAAGGCATAGAAAAACGCAAGTTTTCTTTGTCTTTTAATCTTAAATAAGAGACAAAATATTCCTCTGAATTAATAACTTCTAATATTTTAACATCATAAATTTCTAGTTTTTTTAGTCTTAAATAATACTAAAACGTAGGCTTCTTCTGATGGCTTTTGTGTTAATTGCCCAAAGTTCTCCGTTATTATTGGTATTTCATTATCGCGATCGTTTATATCCCTAAAAACTTTTTTTTTAAAAAGAGGTAAAAAAGGTGCCACGTACACGCGTCAGTTGTGAAAAATTGTTATATGTATTTATAAAATAGTGTTATTTTAATTTAATCTGCACAAAATAGTATTATTTTAAATTATTGAAAATAAATACTTATAAAAATATTTTAACAAAAAAAGTACAAATATATCCTATAAAAATAATGATATAAAAAATTGCGCCAAATATAAAAAATAAAAAATTATACAAATATTTTAACCGAAAACAGTTGTACAAAATAGCTGTTTTAATTTCTTACAAAATAATAATATTAAAAAGTTGCGCTAACTGAATAAAAATTTATGCTATATATATAAAATTTATTTATTTCCAATATGAAAAGAAAAAATATATCCAAAAATACAAAACACAGAAAACAAAATAAAAAATTGATAGAAAGATTAAAACTTAGAAATTAATATAAAAAATTAAAAATCTATACAAAAATTAAAAATTAATACAAATAAAAAAAATAGAAAAATTTTAATTAAAAAAACTTGGCGCTGCTAAGTACAAATATATCCTATAAAAATAATGATATAAAAAATTGCGCCAAATATAAAAAATAAAAAATTATACAAATATTTTAACCGAAAACAGTTGTACAAAATAGTTGTTTTAATTTCTTAATAAAAATAATGATATTAAAAAATTGCGCTAACTCTAAATAAAAATTTATGCTATATAAATAAAATTTATTGATTTCCAATATTAAAAGAAAAAATATGGTAAACATTGCGTTAAACGGAGCAACGAGATACGACTGTGCCCTTGACATATGTTGTCAAGGTCGTCATCCTGAATAAGACTTACAAGATTTTAACCGTCGCTTGACTACGTTTACACGTCACTCTTAATCGGGTTTAATAACATCTATAGTTCTAAAACTGGCCAATCACAGTCATTCTATTCTCAGAGGAATAGTCGTGATTGGTCAGTTTTAAAACGACGGATGTTATTAAACCCGATTAAGGGTGACGTGTAAATGTAGTCAATGTTTATTAAAAATTTATTAACAAAAGAATTTCCATGAATTATATGTAAGGTAATTATACAAAAAGAGGACAACTTCATATATGACCTTGACCTTGATATCATATATGTTGTCATGGTCATCGTCCTGAGTGACTTTGACCTAGAAAAAAGTGGCGGTCACGATCCGTTCAAAAGTTATAAAGCATTAATATAAGTAGAAGCATAAATTTTAATTTTAAATCAGAAATAGGTTTGGGTTAGGTTATATTTTTCGGAAGTGGAGCCCGCCCCGTAGGGGGTGGGGGCGGTACCCGCTGTGTCCACACATATCAAGAGACACAGTAGTGTCTCGCGCCAAGTCACGCGCAGCAACAGCGAGGCACCCCGGGTATTTATACGCGAGTCGGCTAGTTGAGAGTACCTTAGATTATTGGACATCAATAACAGCTGAAAAGATACTATTTTTAATAGGCTTAATCGATACTTTGGGTTTAAATTATATAATAAAAGTGTCTTTATCTTTTTTCTACATGTATCGTGAACGGAGGTAATATAATGCAAAGTCTCAATGTGAAAATTTTCTTTTAAGAAACGTCCACGTCATCATCACATAACCATTCACGCAAGTCCCCAATGCGTATGTGCGAATCTTGTACGGTTGGAGCTTTCGACATAAGATAGCGCTAGCGGGTCTTCGTGATTAGAGAACCTCGAATAAGAGTCGCGAAATAACGTCCCTGATTTTGATTGGTGCCACCATGTTTTGTCAAACTGATATACATCTAATAGATACAGTATGATTGTATACGACCATTATGGTAGTGTCTGTAACATGGTCGTAAGCAGAAATATGTATTTGACAAATCATGGCGTCATCGACCTAACTTACAAGACGTTATTTCGCGACTCTTATTAGAGGGTCTCTATTCGTGATGTTACTGCTCGCATCCATGGGTCTGTTCTTTATAGCTGAACTGGCTGCACTAGTTCAGAGCTTATCTTTTTCCTTCCAATGGGGAGAGAAGTGCAGCCCGTTCAGCTATAAAGAACAGACCTCATACCTGCTTTTGACAGGTATGAGTTAAGTTTACAATGCAAGAGCGCAGTGTTATACAGCGTATGCTTTCATGTATAAAAAGGTAAGACCCTACGCACAATAAAGAAAATATTAGGAATAGGAATAAAATATTAAATATCAGGAGGAGCAATTTGAAATTATTTTACTTCAAACAAGGAAACGGAATGGATTAATTATTTATAATTTTTATTTTTTTATTTCATTATATGTTAATCCGTTCCGTTCCCTTGTTTGAAGTAAAATAATTCCAAATTGCTCCTCCTGATTTAATATTTTATTCCTATTTCTAATATTTTCTCTATTGTGCGCAAGTCCTTAAGCTGCAAAATTTTTCGTGATACTTGCAGATAGTTGGATCAGGTATAAAATACACACACACACACCTGATATTAAACATGTATAGAATAGAATATAAACATCCTATCATAAATGTATAGAATATTTTCTTGTCTTATTTATAGAGAAAAATAAAATATTGCAAAAGTGATTTATGCTATGTGTAAAAACAAAACAAAACAAAACATCGCGTTACATATAAAAATATTTTATATTTATGATAAGAAAGATATGTGTATTTTATAATATGTTATTATAAGATATGTGTGTGTTTGTATTCTATACCTAATTCAACTATCCACAAGTATCACGAAGAATTTTGCAGCTTCACTTTTTTATAAATGAAAGAGTGCTACGCTATATAATATTGCACTGTGGAAAATGTAACTTATACCTGTCAAAAGCCACTATGGATAACTGCATGTAGTTATCGATATAGACATACACGTTCAGTTAATATAAACATACACGTTAAGAATACACATTTGAGTGCATTTGTCAAAGGAGTATCATATAGTTTGTCATATAATTATTTGTCATGCATCATATGCAGCTACAGGTAAGTATAAATAACATTGGTCAAACGCAGTTTGTAAGGTTAAATTTCTATTTATTTTTTAAAATAATTTATAAATATACATTTATTTTTCAGTGGAACTAGAAGAATTTTCCATATCACTTTTTAATTTATATTTAAGTTACAATATAAGTTATGATGTGTGTATTCTACATATTTACGAGACAGATTAGTTAGGTAATTTATGGTATAGCACAAGCGTATAGTATATGTATCAGTCAAAGAAATAAAAGGGTTGCTTTTTATAATTCAGAAATATAATAGATTTATTTATTTAATCTGACTGCACGTAAACAGAAATAAGATAATATATAAAACATAGGAAAAAAAATGATATAATTGCTAAAAAATTACATTTTTTCTTAAAAAGTGAAAAAAGGCGCCGAGTGCACGCGCACAAGCGCCTTTCGCTATAAAAAAACTCTTAGACAAAATGTTATTTCAATTCATTGTGAAAAATTCTTACACAAAATAATGTTTTAATACAAAATAGTGTTTAATATATTTTAATACAAAAACACTGTCATATTCAAATTAAAAAACTGTTTTACAAAATAGTTGTTTTAATTTTCTACAAAAATAGTGATATAAAAATATTGCGCCAATTAATAAAAATTTATGTTACAAAATTCATTTATTATTATTTCTAATATTAAAAATTGCAATGTGATCAAAATAGTGGTATATATTTAAGTGAAAAAAATTTTTAATTAAAAAATCAAAAAGTATAAAATAACTTTTTAATTAGAGAAAAACTTAGCGTTGCTAAATTCAAAATGTAAATAACATGTTAATTAGATTAGCATATATTCAGTTTAGCAGCGTCAAGTTTTTCTCTAATTAAAAAATTATTTTATACTTAAATTTGTTTTTTTAATTGAAAATTTTTTCACTTAGATATATTCCACTATTTTGATCACATTGCAATTTTTAATATTAGAAATAATAATAAATGAATTTTGTAACAAATGCCAAGTGTTTTTAATTAAAACTTTTCAATATTTTATTATTTGTATTGAACTTATTTTGAAATTCAGGTTTCTGTTAATAAAAATAAAATGCGTTTTAATTTTATGGAGAGGATTTGTGTATAACATTTCTATAAATACAAGTTTGATTTT